CAGTTTTCCGCTTGGTCCTAGTGCTCGACGTGTCTCTGTTTACTATAGTGTAACATTGTTTTTGGACGGTAAAAACTGCAGGGGACCAAAACGGCCTTTTGAAAAAGAGCAGGGGACATGTCCCCTGTGTCCCCCTCCCCACAAATTACGCCCGTGTCAGTATGCATTAGATCTAACAACGTTTTTGTGATTGTATCAGTTTATACACATAAACGTCCAAAACGTCCTTAGTCCCAGAAAATCTACCCATATGCAGCATTAGGGTGCAAGGTTTTGAGACTATACTTCTATCTCATGCCGCCTTAAAAGCTTCACAAACTGTGAGGGATTTCACAAATTAGTGGGAACCATGTTTGTCTAGTGTGGTAAAAACACAGCATGTGGTGAACCGTTTTTCTCAATGCGGACAAGCTGGAGGGTAAACATTAGATGAAAGTGCTGCTGTTTGCACAGTTACCTGCTCACTGGAGAAATACCCATGCACCTGCTCTATGGCTTTGATCCGCTGATCGGTCAGGACGCACTAAAACACAGAATGAACAATTACCAAACCATTTTAAATCTTTAATCAAACGTACAATACGGGATTAAACACTTCTTACCTTTCTTATCTCATCCAAGACGATATCAAATGATTTCTTATCCATGTTTGTAGATTCAAACAAACGTTCGCCTCTTTGTCAATGAAACAGTTATTACACTACGCAGCTGGTAAACACACTTTTTTTCCCCCCCCGTAAGATAAAACGCATTACTTTAAGTCGAACAACTATGTTTAACGACGCAACGTTACTGATTTAAATTCACCATGCTGCAAAAGCACAATACACAGCAAGGGATATGCGCAGTAAATGATGTGCTCCGTAATAAAGCCGCATGGTCTTTACAGCCCTTATGTGCGACACAACTTTCTGCCCGTGAACAATGACTGAAACAGGAGAATCTGCATCTGCAGTGTGAAACCTGTCTGCACCAGATCCGTCCGCAGCTAACAACAAGCTAGACAGCTACAGCTAACTCAATTGTGAGCAGGGCTAAATAAGAAAAAGACGCGAGGAAATGCGATGCAAATGACTTGTGCATCTGTTCGTTCAAGTTTAGTTTGAATCCGACGCGGGCGGTAATTCCAGTAGAGACTGGAAAATGTTAAAAATAAATCCTTCTAAATGTCTAAATAATGCGCTACGAGCGATAGCAGCCGAGCTAGCTTCCTCTGACAGCTGGCGCTAGTAACGATAAACAAGCCCCTTGAAGGACCCCTCTAAAGAAAGGCCTGTCAGAAAAGACACCATGTAGCGAATGATACAGAAAAGACACCAAATGAGAGTCACTTTGAGTCATATAGTCGACGTAATTATTAGTTTAATTTACTCTAACTTGTGTTTTCTGTGCTTTGTAGTGTTCGTCTGCAGGCGGCATCAGGCCGATTTCAGACCGCGTACAGGAAGTAAACATGAAATGGATGTCGGTACCGGAGTCGAATAAGGAATTGCAATAATTAGTTAGTAAAAATGGACCGCTTCTCCTGGTCAAACGGGCTCTTAGAAATAAACGAAACTTTAGTGATCCAGCAGCGAGGTGTCAGACTGTATGACGGCGATGATAAGGTACAGCTTTGTTTTCTGTTTGCTGAGTTTATTGGCTGACAACAACACAGCAGCTAAAACTAAACTAAACTAAAACGCGACAGTGTTGATAAAATAGTAGAATAATTATGGTTTAAAGCACTTAAATGTGTAGTGGGAGGTGGTTATAACACGAAAAGTGACATAGAAACTCTTAAAAAACTCAGATAACAGCTTGATGTCCTCTCCTGTCACTGTACCAGGCTAAGCTGGATGTTGGAGTTGTCTTGTTGAGCACCCATCGTTTGATCTGGAGGGACGTTAAAAACCACGTAAGACAGACAGACTGACTGCACTGATTGTGTGAGGACTGGGTGCTGTTGCTCACTGAATTGTCCTTTGTGTGTTGGCTCTCATGGTGATGTAGGAGTGCTGCATAGCCATGCCCCTGTCACAGATCATCTTCTTTGAGGAGCAGGCTGCAGGAATAGGAAAGAGGTGAGTGTCAGTACATATGTCTTGTGGTTTTTGACAATACAAATGAGATAAAGTGTTTCAGTGTCACGTTAAAGAGGAGCAAACGGCAATAGTATGTGTGTTTTATATGTAAATGTGTCATTTGACCCACAACTCCTGAAGAACTGCACCTCATTGTCTCTCTTCTTACCCTGATGCGCCCATCACTCTGTAACAGGGTAAATCTGGATTCATCAGACCACATGACCTGCTTCCATTGCTCCAAAGTTCAATCTTTATGCTCCCTAGCAAATTGAAGCCCTTCTTTCCGATTAGCCTCACGGATCAGTGGTTTTCTTATGGCTACACAGCTGTTTAGTCCCAATCCCTTGAGTTCCCTTCGCATTGTGCGTGTGGAAATGCTCCTACTTTCACTATTGTGAGTTCTACTGTTGATTTCTT